AAACAATCATATAAGAATAAACGGTTAGAACGTAATTAATCATATACTTTAGGAGAAGGAATGAACATAGACCTTAATTAATCATATATATTCTTCCTTTTCCTTAACCTTTTTGCCTCCTTTCCTTTTCGTGCTTTGATACGCTTGTAATTTCCGTGTGTATGTTTATGTTTTTAGCTAGTTTTGGTTGTTTTATATCTCGGAAATTACACACTTTTGGTGTAATAGTTATGTTTGTAATTTGGTTGTAATTCATTTAGATTAGGATCATTCTGAGTTTAAACAGGTCCAAGATCAACCAAATGATCATTGGTGAAGGAAGGTGCAAGAGTACAAAACAAAAAGAAGGCAAATTCCTGATTTTTGACATGTACCCGGTCGTGTATTCCAATTTGGGATTCAAGTATTATGTGTGTTTCATTGATGATTTTTCTCGTTATACTTGGCTTTATCCCATGTGTCACAAAAGTGAGGTTTTTATGCACTTTAAAAATTTTAAAGTTTTAGTTGAAAATATTTTTAATCAGAAAATTAAAATTTTCAAAATGACGGGGGAGGTGAATTTGTTAATCATAATATGCAGCACTTCTTTTCCGCTAATGGTATTTATTTTAGAAAATCTTGTCCTGACACACCCCAACAAAATGGGGTTGCTGAACGCAAGCATCGTCATTTACTAGAATTAACTCGGACCATGCTTCTTGAGGCTTCGGTTCCGAGTCAATTTTGGGTTGATGCCATTTTTACTGCTGCATATATTATTAACACATTACCCTCTCCTACTTTAAATGGCCTTTCTCCGTACCAAAAACTTTTTAACCATGAACCGGACTACTCCTTTATGCTCGTATTCGGTTCTGCCTGCTATCCAAATTTTTCTGCCACCTCAGCTAATAAATTATCACCTCGTTCCGTTCAATGTGTTTTTCTTGGCTATGCATCTGGTTATAAGGGCTATCGTTATTTTGATCCTATCACAGGTCGAGTATGTGTTAGTCGTCACGTTAGGTTTCATGAGAACACATATCCCTTTAAAACATTATCACCTAGTACAACGTATTCTATCCCTACTACACCGTCTCCAATGAACCTAACTGATATCACCCTTGACCCGCCTGCCCAGTCCCCTATCATGACTCAACTCCCTCCACCGCCCCCATCCCCTTCTCGGCCACCTCTCAGTCCTACTACTCCTTATGTACCATCGCCCTCTACAAGCTCCCCCACGTCAACCACCAGCCCGCCACCATCACCTCCAGCCTCTGATAACCGCACCCCGTCCAGCCTGCCGGACAACACCACCTCGGCCGACTGTGTGTCAACCGCCCCTCCCTCCCCTAGGTTCACTACGGTAGTTAATCAGCACCTCATGCAAACCCGTGCTAAGTCAGGAATATTTAAGCCCAAAACAATTTTTAATTTAAGTACGGTTATTACTCCTGCAGATCCTACCTGTTTTACCGAGGCAAATAAACATTTAAAATGGCATGAGGCGATGGCTGATGAATTTAATGCACTCATTAATAATAATACTTGGGATTTGGTGCCCTTTGATAGCTCTAAGAATATTGTTGGATGTAAGTGGATTTATAAAACTAAATATCATTCTGATGGATCCTTAGAGCGTCATAAAGCTCGATTAGTTGCACATGGTTTTAATCAGCAGGCAGGTATTGATTTCTCTGAAACTTTTAGTCCGGTCGTAAAACCCACCACAGTTCGTATTGTACTTACTCTTGCTATTTCTTTTGGATGGGTTATACGACAACTTGATGTTAAAAATGTCTTCTTACATGGTCATCTGACAGAAGAAGTTTATATGCGTCAGCCCCGTGGTTTTATTCACCCTCAATTTCCTAATCATATATGTCGTCTGCGTAAGGCCATTTATGGCCTTAAGCAAGCTCCATGGGCCTGGTTTCATAGATTCGGTAGCTTCCTTCTGCAACATAATTTTTCCTATAGTAAATCTGGCAATTCTTTGTTCATTTACCGCCAGAATAATACCATTATTTATTTATTATTATATGTGGATGATATTATTATTACTGGCAATTCTGAGTCATCTGTTACCCAATTTATTTCGGTTATCTCTAATCATTTTGCTATGAAAGACTTGGGTAATCTCCATTATTTTCTGGGTATCGAGGTTATTCGTTCAGCTAAAGGTATGTTTCTCTCCCAACATAAATATGTTATTGATCTTCTAGCCCGTTTTCATCTCCATACCGTAAAGTCTGTTCGCACCCCGTTAGCTTCTCGTACCACTCTGTCTCTTTCTGATGGTGAGTTACTGTCTGACTCTACTGAGTATCGCAGCATGGTTGGTGCATTACAATATTTAACTTTGACACGGCCAGATATTACTTATGCAGTACACTTAGTGTCTCAGTTCATGCATGCTCCTTGTACCATTCATCCTTTTGCAGTCAAAAAAATTTTCAGGTACTTGCAGGGCACACGAGATCATGGGCTATGGCTTCAGCAGTCTAATCAGCCAACCTGTGTAGTTGCTTATTCCGATGCTGATTGGGCAGGTTGTCCTGATAGTTCTCAGTCCACCACAGGCTTTGATGTATTCTTGGGTCCGAATTTGATTTCTTGGAAGACTAAGAAGCAGCCTACCGTGTCGAAGTCCTCCACAGAAGCAGAATATCGTGCCATTGCTTACACAGTACAGGACACACTGCATATCCGGTCAGTATTATTCGAGCTTGGATGGCCGATCAAGGAGCCGGTACATTTATTGTGTGATAATATCTTTGCTTCTTATTTGACTGCAAATCCTATTCAGCACGCCCGCAGTAAACATATCCAGATTCACTTTCACTTTGTTCACGAACGGGTTGCTCACAGAAATCTGATTGTTAAGCACGTTCCTACTCATCTACACTTTTGGCCTGGAACGCATTGCGCATTGCGCATCGTCATGTATAATTATCTTCCCCACGTATATATATATAGTGTTATATTAAGACCTGGGAAATCGAAAGCTAGTGTGAAGGAATTAAGTTGTGTCATTAGTTTTGCATCCGTCGTCCTGGGTCTTCATTCTACGGTATCACGAATTCGTCGTCTAAAGTCGTCGTTGAAATTCCTCCTATCGGTGTCGCCATTTAGTTTTCGAGGAAACAGAGTGAGCCGTACAACAGTATATATATGCAAAGTAGATAACTATCTAAGGAAAAAGAGCGATTATACAAACCGACCCGAAACAATACAAGTTGTGAACCCGAGAACCCGTCTAGTCACGGGCCGATACAGACACACACATCACTAATGTTAATAATATTATTAATAATATATGAAACATGTCAAGTACTTAATGATCTGATGGTATCACTGTGGCACTTACAAAGAGGATGTCACTGGTTCAAATCTCATTTCAGTTAAAGAATATTGGCCTTAACAGAACAAATACTATAATAATAGATTTGATAGTTTTGGCCAAAAAAATATATTATACCTAATAAATATTTTTAAATAATAGTCACACTTAAGATCATATATATAGAAGAAGTTTCAAATACAAAGATGTATTTCCATGCAAAGTGAGAATTAATCTCGTGCATTCATTTTGAGATCCAATGCTCAAAATGAGCCAAAAGTGCACTAAGTTGGATAAAAAAAACGCGGTGATATATTCGTAAATAATCCGAAGTTTTTCGTCACCACGTAAAAGTATAACACAAACACCAAAAAGTGCAATCAAAACATGTAAAAGTGTATATATTCACACTTTGCACGAGAAGAAGTCTTTTTATTTGAAATCCTAGTCCAGCCCTACTCCCCCTGTCATCTTGTTAAGATGAGTTCTCACTAGAACCCTCCCCTTGTGATAACACATCTTAAAATGAGAACTTGTTATAATATCTTTTAATCACAACCTTTCATTTAATTCAATCATTTGTAGGATGCACATGAGTTCTTTGTGTAATTATTGAAAATTCAAATGCGATCTTTTGTGTAACTATAGTAGACTTATTACAAAAATGTCACCTTATTAATTCTATCCCTTTGATTTCATAAACCAAGCGTGTTGATTAGAAGTTCTCATCTATAAATTAGTTCTCATTTTAAAGGTTCTCACTAGAACCCTCCTCATATGTAAGTGTATATATAGAATCCTGGGCCGGTTCCGGACCTTCACCCAACAATAAAAACCCCGGTTTGGACCAACTTGGAGCCCGACCCAGAACCGATCCATGCTTGGCACAATTATTAAGAAATGTAAATATATGTGGTCAAAATTAAATTGATAGAATAAAAATAAAATAAAAATGATTTAGATAACACAATTTTTAGGAAATTTAATATGAGACATTCTTAACAAGATGACAGGGGAGTAGGACTGGACTAGGACGGGTCAGGCCGACCCATCATAGTCCAGCCCGAGCAGCTATAGTGCAGATCCAACCTGACCCGCTTGACAAAGCCGGTGGTAACAAGCTTTGATTTTAGTGGGTCAATTCAGGTCTAAAGATCAAGAAATCTAAAAAAACCAAAATTTGGGCTTGGATATTTTTGGCCCAATACAACCTTGTCCTATTCCGTGGCCCACCCAGGTAGCCAAGCCCAACCCGGTACAAACCCGGGCCAGTACCTGGCCTGATAACTTTGAACCCAGATAATAGGAGAGAATAGGTGTAGAATTTTTTATAGTAGGATGTAATTATAGGTTTTCTTTTAACCCCCACCCCCTCCCTACAGGTTTTTAGCTTTCAAAAGGTTTTATACCTCTGAAAATGCTTATAAGCGTTGAAATTTAAAAATTAAAAAAAGCACGAACTCGGATAGGAGCAAACTATTCCGGTCCGCAAATGCCCTACCCGTGGCATACACCAGTGGGGGCAGGTCTGGCGCCTGTCTGAAGACCAAAGTGGGAAAAGGTTTCACCGTTTCAGTCCGGTCCCGGGAATAGATAGAGTGGTTCCCATCCAGACCAGTCAAGACCAGTCCGGGAACGTGGACCAGATCCATCCCTAAATGAAACTGCCAGATTGATGATCAGACAAAAGAACATAAACTAAGCCATTTTTTGTTTAAAAAGAACAGTTAAATGATCAGACAAAAAATCAAAATCCATAATTAAAAGAGCTGCAACATGCGGAGACTTTGAAACCGGAAATCCTAAACTAATATTTTAAATGTGACAAGTACTACTGAGTGTCTGAGCCTACTGATTAAGGGCAGTTCAAGCAGACATCTTGACAAGCTTGTTGTAAATAATCCGGTCATCCCTCGATGTATTGCTCTCTACAAGGGCGTTCAGGACCAAATCCTGCGTGTTCATAAGAAGTAAATTAGGTTTCCTATAATAATTATTCTTGTCATCTTAAATTGTTAAAAAAATCATGATTACCTTCACATCCCGGTTCGAGAGGGATTTCCCTAAATTATGAATAATCAATCTGAGATCTGCAACCTGTTGTGATTGAGGGTCAAATTCTGAAGAATCCAAAGATAACACTTGAACGAAAACAACAGCATGAGTTCACTTACCCTTACGTACCCCACTCGGTTTCGGTCAAAAAATCTGAAAGCCTGTTACCAAACAAATCCAACATTTATGAGGAAATTATACCGAAGAGATAATAATACTATTGCTCAAGAGATAAAAATCCAACATTTTTGGGTCCTCGATTATGAAATTTGCAACCAATATAGCCCTTATTTGGTTTGACCGAGGTTAATTCCATCATTTCACCAAATTGAGTAAATAGCGTATATTTAAGGGACTAAATCGGGTATTAGCTCCCATAGAAATGGAAGAACAACAGAACACGAAATAAGTGTTACAAAAATTTACCTGCAACAGATCTTTGTCAATCTCCACATGGGCACTCTTTGCCTCTATCTCTGCCTTAGTTACCTTATCACCTTTGCTGCTTACATCAGCATCTGTACTTGATTTAGAAGCATCTACACACGTTACCTGTTTCCCATCCATCTCATCCCCGTCAACATTCTCAGTATTAGTATCACCATCAGTTTTGCCTTCAACATTTTCCTGTAAGCAGATATATAAATATCAATTCTCTATTGAGACAAGGTATGACCATGGTAAAGGTTCATACCGCAGAGGTAGGATATTGAGCAAACAAAAAGTTAGAAGCAGTTGACATTGGCATATAAGGTAGAAAAGAGTAATTTAGGAACATGTCAAAAGTGGAAGAAACAACACATAGGACTTGACATCATCATCAACAAAAACAATAATAGTAGTAAGTACAATAATAATGTAATAATTGGACAGACCTTGTCTGTTTCATTCTCGGATTTCACATCAACCATTTCTTCATCTTCTGCATTTTCTTCATATTCATCAGGATCTTCCTCCGGATCTTCATCTTCGTCTTCGTCAGTGTTATTTTGCACAGAAGAATCATCTTGAATCTTAACTTCTTCAATCTTAGCAGAAGAGATAGTAGTTGCTTCTTCCTTCGAAGGGGATTCTTTCCCATCAGAAATAGCATCCTTGTTGTGCTTGTCCACCCCGGGTAATTCATTATCATCCTTAGACTCTTCTGTTTTTGCTCGCTTTGCCGCCGATTTTTCTTCAGTCTCTCTCTTGGATGCTTCATCTCGCTCTCTTTTCCGCTGGTTTCTCTTGATTGTAGAGTTAATGCGCAGCTCCTAAAACCAGTAGAATGAGTATTCCATTAACAGTTAACCATTTATTAAAATGCATCCAAACAGAAAGAAGTGGATCATGACAATTACCTTGAGAAATGTCAAGAGACGGGAACCCATTTCATAATAAAGCAGCTCATACATAGATTCAGCAAACAGTGAAAGCTACATCGAACATTAAAGGAATTCAGAATCCAACAGTGTAAGATAATTGAATTGCATGACCTGGCCCCCTCAAAAGTAAATTGTACTTAAAAGGAATACCTCAAATCTTGAATCATCTACATCCTTGTCAGTATAATCCAAGAGAGAATCAAGGGAGAGTGACATTGATTGCAACTGTTGCAGTATATTGAGAAGGCTTCAATTCTACCTTAAACATTCCAAACAAAAATGGACTAGTAGAACTATCGTATGTAATTTGCTTAGTCCATACCTTGAAATTTTTGTCACCTTGTGTTCGAAGAATGAACCCAGGATGGCGGGGTGGTTCATCACTTTTCTTTACTTTCACCTCCTTGATTGATTTGCTTTTGGAAATATCTTTTTCATCTCGCTTGTCCTCACTTCTCTTTTCTTTCACCTCTTTAACTGATTTGCTTTTAGAAGTGTCTTTTTTTTCCTTCTTGTCTTTGTCTTCATCAGGTTGCTCCTTCGCTTCCAGCTTCACACAATCATTATTCGGAGAACTCTTCTTTTCAGTATTGGTTCCTGACTCTGTTTTGGACAAAGTAGTGTTACATACTTCTTCAACTCTTTTCTCTTTAGTCACAGCTGGTGGGGATGGTTGTTCCACTTTAGGAATAACTTTAATTTCTGAAGAGATTAAACCTTCCTGAGAATTAGATGCTATTTGCACCTCATCAATGTCACCTTTCACTGATATTTGTTCCTCCATGTGATCTTTGTTATCCTCGGCAACATTTACACCACCATTGCTACTGTCTGCGGCAACTTTCCTTTTAAGCACCCTTTTAATAATTTTTTTCTTGATAGTCCTCTTCACACTGGCTCCCTGGACCACAGAGATGTTGTCAACACCATTTTTCACTGTCTCAGAAGGCGCTGATTTATTAACCTCGGAAGGTGTTGGTTCATTAACCTTGTTAGCTGTTTTCACAACAGGGACCTTCTTAATAATCTTCTTCCTCACAAAAGTTTTAACTGAATTAGGAGTGGCAGAAGCATCCTGTTTAGAGACACCATCTTCGTCTGCAGCTTTTTCTTCAGCTTTCCCATGCATCACCTCATCGTCTTCTTTAGAAGTACTAGCATCCACTTTCTTACTTACGGCTTTCTTCACAATTCTCCTTACAATTTTCTTCTTCCCGGTCTTTACACTAGCTTCAGGTTGAATATCAGTTTCACCTTCACCAGTTTTAATCACAGCAACAGAGTCAGTAGTGCTCTCATCATGAGTTTCAACAACTCCATGTTCACTCTGTATTGTTTTCTTTTCGCTTCCATCTTTGACAGCTTTGCTCTGTGCAGTCTTCTTGTCACTTCCAGGCTTACTAGTTTTTTTTTGTGTTGTTTTTTTATCACTTCCTTCCTTGTCAGCTTTGTTCGGTGTTGCTTTTTTATCACTTCCATCCTTATCAGCTTTGTTCTGTTTCAGCTTGGCGCCATTCTCATTCTTCTTATCCCCTTTTGTGTCCCGCTTGGCATCTTTCTGTTTCTCAAGATCCTTGTCTAATTTCCAAAAAAAATATAAAAACCTCATAATATTATGCTAAGGGATAATATGACAAAGAACTAAAAAATATTTGAAGAACTAAAAGGACAGATTTCCGGCTGTGTTACCTTTGATATCCTTCACTTCTTCATGTTTCTATTCAAATAAAAAGTACAACGGAATCAGTGTGGAAAATTATGTACAGAAACAAGAAAGCAAAAGAACACCAACATGTCAAGGAAATGATATTTAAACACGCACATACAGAGAGAATTGTCAGAAGACTAAAAAACTCTGTTGATGGATCTTTGTGAGTCACAATTCCAAGTAACAAAAAAGAAAACATAAGATGAACAGGAGACCGTGAATAATAAGTTTTAGGATAATAGAAATCATTTGGCCCAAATATATTTATAGCCATTTATTCATGGCTCAAATATAAGATAGATAACGTTCAGCGATGGACAAAAATGATAACCGAATGATCAGTAAAACACCCAGATATTTTTAAAATTGGCTTGTCTATATTTCATCTAGTCACACAAATTTCGTCTGGAGATGAAAAAACACTATGTTTAATGTAAAGAATGTTTAGAACATAAAAGCGTTTATGATAATAGAAGTATTTCGAAAAAAAATCCAATTATATTGATATATATACCATACATATGTATTATTGGTGCTCATTAAAAATAGATAGCATTGAGCAAAGGGGAGAAATGATGATTGATTGGTAATATAAACTGCAAGAATTTTTCTTGATCAATGGCTGGTGTGCAAGTTCATCAAGCTGCATAAATTTCATCAGAAGAATGGGAAAAAACAGTGTATAAGGTCAAATGTGCTAAAGCATTTTTTGATTTTCTAAATCATACCATTAATATATATACTTCCTATTACTCTTATTGCTCCTTAAAGAGCTAATATATTAAATTCTCAAGTAACAAAATTAATGATATAAAATAGCTAATGAGAAACAAAATAGATAAGAGCCCCAAATAGGATGTGGCTTGTTTCCTCTTCACTAGAAAAGGCTTCAGAAATTTTATTAGATGCAATCTACATCCTTACCAATTTAACTTTCATGTCTCCCTGAAAAAAATAGCAACTGGAACACAAATAGATCCAACTAACAACTTTGAACGAATTCATAATTTGGGTGTACATGGGAAACTAACCTCTCTCCTGAGAGCCTCCATGCGTTCTCGTTCAGCAATTGCCTTCTTGTATTTGACCCATTGTTCACGCCACAAATCCATCGAAGGTTTACAATCAGACAAGTCTGGAACAAAATAAACAGTCACCTCCTTGTGACTGAACATGCCATCCTTTCCAAATCTATCATAATGTATCTGTGGAAGTCACATTAAATTAGATTTTGCACAAAAAAAGGGTAAAATACTCTTGCTAATTGAAGCTGATAACAATAGTAAATATATTTAAATTTAATTATTAATATACTCTCCAAAGATAGATAAAATTGATGTACACAGTTCCAATCCATTTGAAGCTGAGCTCTCCCATTTCATGTACAGAGAGAGAAACCAAGATAGATAAATCAATTGAGAAGAAGAAACTGGCCCATATCATATTCCCATTTTCATTGGGCCATTAATGAGGAGGACTAAATCATACGGAGTACTACATATACCAATTTTCCTTCTGCTTTAACATGATATACAAAGGAGACTCATCTTACAATTTACAAATGCACATATAGTTGCAAATGAACAGAGTTTTTGCCACTTTTAGTCCTCCGGCTATTATGTGTGGCATTTTTTATATTCAACTTTGAACTTTCCACTTTTTGTCCTTCAACTATTGTGACAGATACTTTCAGTAATTGTCTTTGAAATTTACCATATTTAGTCCTTCGACTTTTATAAAAGTGGCATTGACAACACTTCCACTGATTTTGATACAACAAGTGGAGTAAAAATGTCACTATGATAATAGTTGAAGGACCAAAACTGTCAATTTTACAATAGTCGGAGGACCAAATGTGAAAAAAATCAAAGTCAAGGACTAAAAGTGTCTCACAATATTTGAAAAGGCAAAAGTGAAATAACTCAGAGTTGAATACCAAATGCGTCAATGACACAATAGTGGGAAGATTAAGAGTGGAGAAAACTGTGAACAAAAATGTCAGGACATTGAAGACAAACACATCACACAATTAATGAAAGAGCCCCAGAAAGCAAGCAATTGATATTACCTCTAGGAAACGATTCCAGTTTTGGCAGTCCTTCAACTCCAGATTTGTTATCTCCTTTGCATATCTAAAAGTGAATCACTTAGCCACATATAGGAAACAGATAAGGGATCCAGTGACTTTAGGAACAATATGAAGAACAAACCTAAGAATCGTCTTAACCAATGCAGAGTCATCAACTGACGGATCCCCACCATCAACAATGTCCCACGGGCCTCCAATTGCCATCAAAGAATTGTCTTTTTTAAGAATTGCAAATCTCAACATATTACAGAAGTGAGGTATGCGATCATCATAGTTCCTGTCAGATGATAGCTCATCCAAAGCATTTTTACTGAGTCCACTCATCAGAATCATCTACATCGAGCGGAAAAGCCGAAAGATAAATTTTCATGCAATATTTTTGGGGTAAATTACTAGAAGCAAATTGGAAAGAAGCACAGCCATTAAAATCTTGTCAGAAATATACAAAGACTGGGGGAAAGTAGTGTAGTTATGATAGGTAAAAAGACCTTGGCATTCCATATGGTAAGTCCATGATCTGATTTTTTAAGGTCACTTGCAGGCTTGCTTGGTGACAACAATTTCTGCTCATCTGAAGCCTCCCCTTCAACAAAATCATGCTCAAAACTGTTTCCATAAAAGAAGCACGTAAACACAAAAACCACATTAGCAAACTCAACTGCCACAAAAAGTCAAGAATACTACAACCCCCATCGCATTATATGTGTCTTGTTTTGGTTTGGCACAATTATTGATAAAGTAGTTGAAAAGGCAAAAGTTGTGGTTGAGATTTGAGTTAATAAAGTGAAATGTTGTGGCCAAATATTTTTTCCAAAAAATGAAATATGACACTTGTTTTGGGACAACCCAAAAAGGATAAGTAATTCCGGTAAAATGAAACGGAGGGAGTAAAATTAAAGAGCATCTAAGACACTTCAGTTCCAAAATATAAAAAAGGTCTTTACAAGAGAACCATGACAGCAACAATAAAAAAGATGTTCTCTGTTTTGGCCATAGTTGTCATGGCGTCGCCTTATCGTCGCCACATCGTCCCGGCGCTAGGAGAGGCTCGCCATATGTTGTCGACTCGCCATAAACCTTGTGGCGTCGAAGCAGCATCCTTGAGGCGTCGGAAGAACGCTTTAGATGCCTAGGCGACGATTTATTTGAACGGGCCCAAACCCAAACCCAATTTTTTAAACCCATCAAATAAAATAAACCAGACTGATCCATCTGCGCTCGACGAGTTTCCAAACGCAGAGTCCCATCTGCGCTCAATCCATCTCCCGCAGTCCGCACGCTCCTATTCCCTTCCGTCTTCAATCGGCCGCACGCTCAGTCCTGGTCCGCAGTTTTACTTGCTTCAACTTTTTTCAAGACTTGGACTTTTAACTTTAGTGTGTGGGTACGTGGGTTTAAAATCATCCAACTTTGTATATTAACTTTGTACTTCGTATTTAATATTTCTCAAAAAACAAATGTGTTTAATATTTTGTTGAGTGCTTTGAAATTAATGTTGTATTTACTGTGATGAACTGTTAATGTTTTACAGAAAGTCAAATAGTTTTTGAAAAGTTAGTATTGTACTATTGTTAGTTTGTTACTATTTTAAGAAAAGTTTTAATTTTATGAAAACAAATTTCAGTTTTTCCCCAAATAATGAATAAATTTCAGTAGTTTTTTTATTTTATATTTCAAAAAAAAATCGATGTCTTCAATTTATGCTGAAATTTACGGTGTAATTGTGTTGTCTTACATTTAATAATATTTTTTAAGTTTTTTGTGAAATTTTGATTGTTTAGTTATACATTTAAGTATTTTTATGTTGGATTATGTTATTTCTATTTTCTACTTTTTTACTATGGATAATTTTTGTGATTGTTTTGATGAACTATAGGTTTATGGTTATGGTCTTATGGGTTATGTTATTTCTATGATTACATGTTTTATTACTTCATTTACTTCATTAGTAGTGTTGGCTATAAGTGTTACATATAGGCTTATTAGTATGTAAAACATATTATGAATTAATTAGTGTATATGTCGACTTATCGCCGCGACTCCGCCACGACGGGCGCCATATCGCCATGGCGGTGTGGCAGTCCAAAGGCGCCGCGCCGCAAAACACCGCCGTAATAACTATGGTTTTGGCTTAGTTGGCATACTCTCCCTTTTAGAGGTAGCAGAAAACTTGAACTGTTCCACGAAAACAAAATTACAAGAGTGAAGTATTCGAGTATATCAGAATATATTTTCAACTACACTGTTTTTATTAATCATGTCTTGGAGCTCTAACTCTACTTGATTGATTGCTTCACATAAAACATATGTTTCCTTCAGCCTAAAAAACACTTCAGAATTTAGTGATGCGTGAATTATTTATATGAGTGGCTGCTAATGGGTGCCGGTTTTAGCATTAAGTATTTAAAAGACAGCTACTAACGGATGTCACACCGCTATTTCCACACCATATGAAACAAAATGCAAATGCAGCCTCCTGTTTTTTGCTTTTGTTTTTGCAGAAATATGCAAAAATAAATTACAACAAATGGAAAAGTGTGAGAGAAAACCAACTATCAGAAAACAGAATATCTCTAGCATGAGAAGAGATGTATTCTACCCGAGAGTAAGAAGCTACACAACCGACAGATGTCTTAAATTAAACCTACTCTATGTAAGAGGGTTGTTCGGTAATCGTTATGTCTTTATGGCATAGAAAAGTGTGAAAAGAAAATCCACCTATCAGCTTACTAGAGATCTTCAACCTGTGAATGAACATTTTGTACCCAGAAGGATTATACAACATAAGTGACACATTACCTGACAGGCGTATACAAAGAAAGCTTTAGATTCCCCTTAGGCCAATGTACAACTACCTGCACATAAGAGGATATTTTCAAAAATCTAATTTCTAACTTCTTTATTAATAAAGTGTGAGAAAAAGAAAGTAACCTTTGTGCATTCAGGCGAAATGAAAAGCCGGGGATATATCTTATCTAATGCCAAATAATCTCTTTCTGCTTCCAACAAGCTAGATGAGTAAACCTGTAAACAAGGATGCATTAGACATCATACAATGAAAATATGGTTCACATGCTATCTTAGTATCCAGTTGTTTTGACAAAAAAAAAGTAAAGCATAGAACTACATATAACAGCCTTACTTCAGAAATCAAAACCACTACAGTTTCCAAAGTAACTCCACACAAAGCTGCGACTGAAAATTGATCATATCATCATAATAGGGACAAAATAGGTTGGAGTTGTGGTTTAAATTGCTGGATTTAGCCACTAATTTCAGAGTAAAATGAACAAAATAATAAGATGGGAATTATATATTATATAATATAATACGATAAACAGAAATATAGGGAGAATTACGAAGTGCCAAGGCAGGAAAGAATGGTACAGAAGAAGGTTCATGAACTAAGACCAAAGAGGAGAAGGCTTCAACACATTGAATACAATGTGAACGAAATCAAATGAGATGGGGAGTTTCCAACAAGGCCTTATGTCAATCGGGATTGCTTTCTTAGGAGCAGAATATTAAGGAAATAATGTAGAATGGAATCCCTAATCCCTATAACATTATAAGCTCTAAAAGAGAGCCAGTAATGATGCATCAACTGAGCTCTTGGCTTTACCTTGCACACATATTCTCTTCTTGTTTCTTTAACTGGTGAATGGCGCCTTCAGCATAATAATAGAAGACTATGTTAGTTGTGAAGGCTGCAACATTAGCTATCAGCTAAACATACAGAAGCAGGGTAGGACTAAAAATTTAAAAATCCACCTATGCAGAACTTCATGCCGCGGAGAATCACGTCTTAAGGACTTACTGTCCTTGGTAAGTGATGTACCCCGGGGCTCCCTGGATATTCTTGGAGGTGTCCTTTCACGTCTAGCTTCAGTTCCACGTTTGCGCTCATTATCACGTTCTTTTTCCTTCCGCTCCAAAATGCGTTCTCGTTCTCGTTCTCTTTCTCTTTTTCTTTGTCGTTCGCGCTCTCGCTCCTTTTCTCGTTCACGCTCCCGGTCTCTTTCTCGCTCTCTTTCCTTCTCCCTTTCTCTGTCTTTATCATGAGCGCGCAAGTATAGGCGCTCCTTTTCCACCCGCTCAAGCTCCCGAGCATAAGCAATCCTGTCGTCCTTGTAATCATCCATCCTTGAATGGCGTGCCAAAATACTTGGAAAATCTGAATCGAGAGATGATGCATGAAGCCCTTTAGCAATTCCGTAGTCTCTACCAGGCGGCAGGCTCACACCGTAACCAGGATTTGAAGAACTTTGAGAGTATATGAGGTCATCTAATCTTCTCTGTGGTGCTGCCCCTAAGATTGAAGGAGCGTGCTGACCATCGAATGACGAACTGCCTAATGTTGATAATGTGTGGGGATCGGGGTCGGATCGGGTGCTATAAGCGATAAGTTCTTGAGCTGAGAGACGATTTTGTGCTGCATGACGAACAGCAGCAGTTCTTGCTGCAAGATAGTCACCTTGTCTGCCATAAATTAGTTTCCATTCAGTTCAGTACAATATACACCACCAGCTAAGAAAGCTGTGAACAGGGATGCTGCATTCAAATCCTATGCTTTTTACCACAAATACGTTTGTATGCATTAGCTCAGCCACATATTTTTAAGATCATGAATGTCATTTAAGTTTGAACACAGTCAACAATTGTAACAAATGTTATATACTTGTGTATATTCATATATGAAGCACCTGGATAGAAAATAACAAAATAAAATACATGAAATGTCTGATACCTTGGAACCCCTTCAAGGGGTCCGGATTGCAGTCCCTGAGCCTTTAGCAGTTGTTCTTTTCTGATGATTGATGCTTGATCCATGCGGTCATATATTTCTGCCTGTGCCAGAGAAAAAACCATAAACTAATGATCTAATGTAATCTACTTTATAATAATAATAGGGCCACAACGTACCTGGTGTTTATTAAAAGAAATGTTTTCCTGATAGTGGGAGGTGGGTTCAATGTTCAAATCTCTACCCCCTGCATAGGTACTATGACGTTCAGCATATTGACGTCTTTCCAAGGTCGAGTAATCCCCAACCCTCTCCGAAAAAACTTCAGCTTTATGGCCATATGCATGGCCAGATGATGAAACATAGTCACCCAATGTGTATTTAGTTGAGTCGGTAATAGATGAATTGAAACCGGTGCGACCTTCCAGAGTTGATGATGCAGATGCTTTTCCACTTCCAGTACCAGTCTGCAAATGGAAGGGAAAAAAAGAGGATAATTTACATTTCCAAACAACAGCACACACGACAAATGATTACTTGCCATTTATTTAAGCCATAAAGCCCAATTACACAAATTAATACCAACAACATAAGCGTATACAATGCCATGCTCTGAACTGTGCAGAAGTTTATAAACAAAATTCCATCAAGAAGGGGATTGTCTTGTTAATTAGTAGTCAATTCAAGTAAACAGATAAGTGAAGAACTCCATATTGGTTTATCATATTCAGATTAGCTAACATTCTGTTCGGATTTGTCAAACAAGCAAGTAACTTTACAACAACAGCTTCCAATAACTGCAAAACAGCGCTTTATTTTTAAAAATGATGTCATGTTCCAAGTATACATTAATGATCTATCCAGAGATCTCATGAGATCAAGTCCAGCACCCTACATGTCAAGTGCACTCGGCAAATTAGCAGAATATGTGCATCTAACTCTTGTTGAAAATTCCAATATCAACCAATATTTATCACCTTGTGGGATATTATTAAATAAGTAATATAAATAAGCTGATTAGTATATCTTCTTAGGTTTGAATTGAAAAACACATTATTAAGTGGCATTCAGTCAATCACATATGCCATTATATTGAACATAACTGAACATGTGTTTTTCACCAACTTGCCATTATGTTGTACCTTTGTTGCTACAAGACCTAAACTTCTCAACAAAGCATTAGCATCAAACGAGAGTAGAAAATAGCTTGAGAGGTTTTATAATACATTGGTACAGGAAATATAAGATTCATCATTTTATTTCCATATATCTATACTAAACTTCATGTGAGAGAAATAATAATAAAAAGTAAACCGAACCAAATGTATATAAATGATATGCTATGCAGAACCCTGTATTTCATTGTTCTAGGACTCAAAGTGTTCTACCATTTCACAAATGGGACTACTATAGTCTCTTCAAACATAAACTGAGAACAATTTACATAGCTTAAAGAGTTTTAAACATAACCTGCACAAGAAATAACAGATGCAACATTTAATGAACAATGAAAATATCAATACTAGACTTCTAATCATTGGAATCATAAAAAACAAGATGAACCGCGGTAAAACAAATACAATGTAGAACCTTGTGTTCTGGGGGTCAAAGGTTCAAAATGTTCTAACATTTTATTGAGGACTAATATAGTCTTTTCAAACCCGGAATGACAAAAACTTAAATAGTTCAGAAAAGATAACAGACCTGTTGAGCGGAAGAGCCATACACGGCACTGTATTGCCCACCATAGTTAGGTCCAGAAGAGGGGTGATGACCATGAGTTCTGTATCCACTAGCATTGGCTTCTTGAGAGCCACCTAACATTGATGAATGACGTGAAGCAGCTAGCAGTTGAGAGGACCCATCAGGTACTGCAGCAGAGCTAGCAGAGTGACCAGATACCAGCTGCAAAAGCATAAATATTTTTAAGAACCAGCAAGTTAATAGAACTTCAGTTAATAAAATGGTACAGAGTTGAGCACCATAACTGGATACAGCAAAACAGGAAATGAATTATTCTGTTTTATGTCAAAAAGAACAGAAAAAATGGGAACACTGATATGAAAAAAGTAGCATTGTTGTCAAAAAATGAAAAAGGTAGCATCTTTCGTATCTGCAAGCATGTTATTTAAACAAGGTACATAGATACACAGACAGTCATATCCCTTCTTTTGACCGAAATTCCTAGTACATCATTATGTCCTAAAAATGAGGTGTCTTTCAAATTCCAAGTTGTCAAAATAGCAGGTCACTCTTGATTATAGCATGCAGCGTATATTTTGGTGGTGTTCCAACAGCGAAATTACTTCTTGAAAGCTTTGCCCTGCCGTTGATTAGTATTGCCACTCAAAATATACAGTAGTTTATTCTCTCAAAAAAAAAAGTAGTTTATAATGGAAAAGATCCTTAAACGAACTTGTATTGACATTTTATTTCATCGTTGTAAATATATAACTGCAGGCTTTTGTTTTTATTAGGATTTCCAAGATCGAAAAGGGCATAAAAGAGTTCGAACAGGGAATACATTTTGCGGATACGCGGCTTGGGAGGAGTAGCTCTGCTGCTGGCCATACGCGTTAGTCCCACGAGAAGGATACATATCTGAATTGACTGAGAGAGTGGAATCAAAATAAAAATCGGTAAATTAGCAGGATTAGAAATCGATCTAAATTAAGCTGCAAGCGAACACAAAATTAAGTTAAGGAAAAAGAATCGAGAGACCTCTTTAAATCAAAGTGGGTACAGAGCTGAACAGAGCGAACCTATTGACTCATGCGAAAGAAGGCGATGCTGCAGCGGCGGAGTTGATGGGCGACGGACGGAGAGCGGCGGTGGAGTGTATAGATCGGTTCTGTTTTGTGCAAAGGGTAAACGGCGACTGTAAGACCTGAAACCCTTGCCCTGCTTATATTCAAGTTATAACTTCTGAGGTCTCTCTGTCTTTCCTTCCTCTAGTAGATACCAACTTACCAAGTACTTGGATGATTGGGCCTGCCTGCTATTGGGTTATATACTGCTTCAAACTTCCATAGGCTTGGAATGTTTTTAGTTCTAATCTGCTTCAAACTGCTTCAAATTTGATTTGAATTAGTCTGATCTAGTCTACTTTCTTTTTATTTGTATAATTATCCAAATCTAATCTCGTCTGGTCTGGGACATATTATAGTAAAAACATCCTTGTTGCCTATGTAAATGGTAATTTAACAACCATCAATTTAATTATTAAAAACAACATTTCAAAAATTGAACTTGTAAGGATGTTTTTATTTGGACGATTTTCAATCACAGACATCTAATCAGAACAGAAAAGATCTAAATAGATCAAACCTGACTTTCATAGTTATAAAATACACAGAGACCATACATTTACCAAACCAGACTGATTCAGACCAGACTAGACCAGAACTAAACAAACCAGACCAGACCAGCAAATTACAGTCCAAGTAAGAACATATGGAGTTGTAACACTAATACTACCAAATATGGAGTATCATCATACAGTTCTAATGATTTTACACTCTTCGTTTATAATACTACATTTTATATTAATATTAATCATTTGAGAGCTCGTTTGATAACACCATGATTGATTAAATCGGTTGATTCTATTGGAACTTATGAATTTCCGACTGAAGTGACCGAAGTAGTTGATTCTGTTGATTTACATAAAAATTATATTTAAAATCTACGGAGTATTTGATTAATAAAATAAAGAAAAAGTAACTTCAACCATACTTTTTCTTGTTATTATGCAATTCAGTGCGCGAAATCAAAAGCTACTATTGAGGTTTATTCCTTCAACCCCCGGGTCCAACACGTAAGCCCAATGATTTCGAGTGGAGTGTGTGTGAATAAACTAGCCCAACAAGCAGATAATAAGGATCAAGAAACAGTAAGGTAGCAAGTAATTGACTAGGTATTATTATCTCTTAATAACTCCCTAATACAATACTTTTCGCTAAGGCTCTGTCGGTCGTTCGTCTTACAAGGCAGTAGAAGTGCTGCGAGTAAGAATGCTATAGCTAGATTGCTAAGAATAGAAAGTTGTCAACCCTTTACAATGAAATAAATGCTTCTATTTATACCCACCAATGGGCAGGTGGCTATGCTGACGTGGAAGCCTGTGGACCGCTGGTGTCTCAACCACCAAATCTTCAGCATTAAATGCACTTCCCGCCAGAATCTAGGTTTCCCGCCTAAATAGTGGGGACGTTCGTCCGCCCGGGGAGCGAGCTGGATCGCTCCAAGTGACCCTCAAGAGGTTTCGGTTGTTCGTCTCTTGGCCTTAATGGATTCTCACCATGTGGAGTGGATTTCCTTCGATGACTATAGGCTTGCTCTGGAGACGTTCGTCGTCATCCCTGATGGCCCGTGGTCCTGCTCCTTGTCCCTGCATAGACGTTCGTCGCGATGGGCCGTTGAGCCTAAACCTCCAGACGTTCGTCCCTCCCCAAGGAACATGGGCCTGCGGCTAGCATTGTGTTCTAACTGGACGTGCGTCTGGAAAAAAGGGGTTAATGGGCCGGTCCTCGGCTTAGGCCATTACCCCAACACAAGTCCCCCACTTCTGATGTTCTGAGCATGCGCAAGAGATAAGGAAGTATGAACTCCTTTGAAGTAGACGTTCCTGTCTTGATACTTGTGTTTATTGCATTCGGTGGAAGCGTACGTTCGTGGTCGTTGCTTAACAGCTGTCGACGGTTCAGGAAACGAGGTGACGGCTGCTGTAGCGGCGGTGCATTTTCCGAGGAAATGTCATTATTACGCCTTCGCCCCACGCATAACGCGTGAGCCGGAATGCGCCCCTTGCCACGTGTCAGCCCCTCGTTGGTTCCCCCCTCGGTGCTTCTCCTATAAATGCCGTGTTTTCCCTCTGGATTAGGGTTCCCAATTTCTGCTCTCTTGTTATTGAATTTCCGCTGTTCTTCGAGTTCTCTCCCCCGCTTCCGAGTTCAGCTAGTCTCCTCCTTAAGGTAATTTCCTCCTCTGCTTCTTTTATCTGTCTCGGCTTCTTGTTGAAATGACGTCGATGGAGATTTCGTCAAGTTCTGATTCCGGTTCGTCGGGTTCCTCCGCGGGCTCTTCTTCGGACAATGTGAGCGCGCGTTCCCCCGGAAAGGCCAGTGTTTCTGGGACTTCTGGTTCGGCCATGACGGTAGGGACCATCCGGGCTGATGGTGAGCCGGATGACGCTTCCCAAGGTAGTGGGAGCGACGCCGGGGATGGAAATGCTGACGGGGCAGTAGATGTTATTGACGCAGTCCCCCTGAATGAGCGCCCCGCCGATTATGATTCTGGAGAGGAAGCCGAATCCGGTTCTGACATGGAGGTGCATGATCCGGGCATCCCTACGGATATGGAGCGCCACATCTGCCCGATCAGGAGCGCCCTTGACCACGACCAAGTCCTCTCCCGCGTGGCCCTCAACAAGATCCGCACCTTCTTCCCCCCGCCGTTCGTCTGGAGCGTAAGAGGCGCTGAGCATGTGATGAGGAGAAGTCCGGGGATGATCATGCTCCATCTGGATTCCGTTGAAGCCGGGCTGCGGTTTCCACTTCATTCGTTCTACGTGGATTTCTTCCACTGCTTCCAGGTGGCCCCGGCGCAATTTTATGCCAAATTCTTATAGGTTCATATCAGCCTTTCTGGTGCGCTGCAAATTGGCGGGAGTCACTGCCACTTTGGACCTGTTCCACTATTTCTACCGCATTACTCCCCAGAACTCTGATGGTTATCTGAGCGTGGCCGCACGTCCAGGAAGGAGGCTATTCAAGAACTACCCTTCGTCTATCCACGATTGGAAGAACCGCTTCTTCTTCCTCAGATACGATGGGCCTCCCCTCCCGGTTCGGTGGAATGGCTATCCCCCAAAGATTGAGTCACCGGAGCCGACTGACGATCTGCTTTGGGACGTGGAGAAGGTGTTGGAGGGCGGCGTCTGCCCTATAGCCGGATACCTGACCTTCGAGGCACTCTCCGGGGCAGGCATAGGTACCGCCCGTGTCCCTGGGCTTTTTTCCACCCTTCGACGCTCGTCTCGGGGCACCGGGCGGTCCTGTCCTTCGAGGTGAGTGTCTTATTATATTCTCCGTTCGTCTTTTAACCCTTCATTGTTTCCTGCAGGTTCTCCACCAGATAAGGCTCAGATGAATCACGCTGAGTGCCTGAAGACAAGGAAGGCCAAGGCGGCTGCCGCTAAAGCCGCAATGGCGAAAGCCAAGAACGCCCCCTCCTCGGACTCCAACTCCTCGGTCTCTGATGCTGCCCGGCGAACGGTTAAGGGTGAGCAACACCTAATTGCCACCGTGCTGGCTTAGGGGTCCGGGGCCCCTGCTCTCGAGGCTACCCTTCCACCACCGGTCGTCCCCACGAGGGTGGCTCCTCAGAAGGGGACAGAGAAGGTCCCCGAGAAGAAGCAGAAGAGGGGCCGTGAGGCAGCCTCCACCGGCCTCCTTCTTGAAGATGCTGGCTCCCTGCCTTTGAGCCGCCCGGCGGAAGAGCTTTGGAGGGAGATGGCCCTCAAAGCCGGTCTCGAGCTGCCCCGCCGCTCGTCGTCCGAGGCGACCAGTGCTGCCCTGGCAGCCGCTCTTCAGGTACTTCTTCATTACTAGGTCCGAGTACATTCTTCCTTTGACGTTCATCTCCTGACCATGCTTTATTTTTCCTTCTATCATCCAGTCTGGGCTTCTAGTCCTTCAAGCTGAAGCTGTCAGGGAGGCCGACCTGAGAGAGGTTAAGGCCAAGGCCGATGCAGCTGTTGCTACAGCCCGGGAAGCCGCTCGTCGGGCCGAGGCGGGGGCTGCGGCCAAAGGAAAGGAGATTGCAGCCCTGCAGGCTGAATCTCGCAGCCAGCTGGCCGGCCTTGAGAGAGCCGGCTTTGAGCTTATCCCGGTGCTCCCTGCTGCTAAGGATGCAAATCCGGAGTGGCTGGTTGATACCTCCGGTTACCAGAACACTGGGGAGTTTATGGACTCTGCCAGAGACTACTGCGCCGGGGCCTTTGGTGACGTATTTTCTGCGGCTCTGGTGAAGATACCGCCCCGGCAGCGCCTGGCCTGCGGCGTCCGGATCCTCGAGAGCTCTCCCCTGTCCCACAAGTTCCTGTACGAGGTCGGCGACAGCTCCTTTGCCGCGGGGTATAACGAAGGAGTTAAGGCCACTCTCCCGATATTTGCCAAGCTGCAGGGGGCCGACTTTGATTTGGCCGCAAATACGGACGACGATCTGCTGATCGAAGCTCTGGGGAAGCTGGGAAGGGACCGGCGTCGGGAAGAGGCCAAGGCCAGGGGAGAGATTCCGGAGCCGCCGAGTCCTGAGCCCGAGGTCGAGGAAGAAGAGCCGAACCAAGGAGGCAGCCGGCCGGGGTCCCCCTTCCTTGTATAATACAATTTGTAACTTCCTTTTTGAATATGTAATGTCCAGCCGTTAGAGCTGATGAATACACGCTTTTTTACCCACAATCGTCTCTACGTTCATGATCTTTACTTCATTATTTTCTTTTCCCTTCATCGTCTGTTGTGTGGAATCTCCTTCGTGCCTCGCTACACTTGACGCAAAGTTAAAGTCTGCGAGGACGTTCAGTTCTGTCCCCCATCTTGTTTAGGGCAACGACATCCCCTTGCCATGCTTCCGTACGTATTCAAGTGTGCAGGTGTACCGCGAGAGTTCGTCTTCAGGTGACGACGCTCGGTACCTGTGCTGGCTTGCTGCTCGGTTCTGACAGCGATGTCCATCTCACGGTGTGAACATATCACCGAACGCCTCATGCGAGACGACGTTCGTCGGTGGTTGCCTTAGTAGTAGACACAAGTGTGGAGATATGAACGTACTTCCCAGAACCAGTGTTTGGTAATGACGTTCGTCGATCACATGTGTAAAGACAATATCCGTGCTGCGCGCGCCCTACCCGGCTTCGTAGGGGGACGTTCGCCGGGTGAATATGGACAGACGAACGTAGCCCGTTGGCGCGTATGCCCCCCATTGGCCGCCGATGTTAGGCACAGCCGAATGATCGCGATCTCCGGGCATCTCTGGATCCTTCGGGGCTGGTAAATCCCCCTGACGGACGTTCGTGGCATCAATCCGGATTCCTTCGTTGTGGTTATGCGGCGACAAAATCGAGACATCTTAAATACCGTGGTAGGTACCGGTAGCTGGGTGCCACGTGTTCCACTCCGGTTGGTGGGATCCCACGGTGCTGCCTATAAGTACCCAGAAACCACGTGATCCATCCACACTTCTCCTTACGCTGCACAATTGCTCTCTCTCTCTAGATTTCTTTCAAACCGCGTCGACCTCGAACTTCCAAGGTACCGTTCGTTGCCATGTCTTCTGAAACCCGTTTCGACGATGGTTGTTCCTCCGGTGATGATTTAGAATACTATGAGCGGGGAATGCCACCTCGGCCTCCCCGTTATAGCCTTAGCTTCTCGTGCGTCCGGTGTCAAAACCAACGCCTGACGAATGCTGATAAGTGCCTGATTAGCCAATGGTTTTATCCCCCAAGGACCTACGACGATCGGCGCCTGCGCAACCCCATGCGCCACCTGCCCGGCTACGTGGTGGTCCATTTGGATTCGGTGGTAGCCGGGCTGAACTTCCCCTTACATAACTTCCACTTGGAGCTCTTCAGGGCCCTTGAGATAGTGTCTGCGCAGTTCGTCCCTGCCGCATATAGGATCATCGTCGGCTTCATCATTAGGTGCCATAGCGTCGGTGTGACCCCCACCGTGGACCTGCTGAACCACTTCTTCCGGCTGTCCCCCTTCGGACGCACGGGGTACCTGACACTGATCGCCCGTCCGTCCATGGTCCTGTTTTCGAACAATGCCGGGAATCCGGACGGCTGGGAAGAACGTTTCTTCCTGTCCGGGGTAGGCTCCCCGATGCCATTCTCTGATCGGTGGAATGCCTATCCGGTGAAGACGATCCCGCCGCCCATGACGGACGAGGAGCTTGGGTATGCCAAGCGCATAGCTGGACTTGGCATCCAGAACCTCCGGTTGCTGGGACCCATATGTTTGATACTCCAATGGAAGATATAAGAGCTAGTCTTTGAAATAAAGCTAAGATAGAAGTCATGCATCGTAGGAGATCCACAAATGTGATAGTTCATAAATTAGCGAAGGCTGCTCTTTCAATGTCAGATGGTTATTATATTGTTTGTAATCCTCCTGTTTGCATTGTCTTTCAACTACACACTGAGAGCTTGAATTAATTAATACTATGTCGGTTTTTCTTCAAAAACCCAATCTTGGTGCATATTTCTTTAGGTGCAAGAAATATAAACAATTGAACATTTGACACTACTACATACAAAGCACAAAAAAATAAGGGTTTGTTTATATAAAGATATTTTTCAGTTTTCTATTTCTGTTTTTGTTTACCATTTTTCTGTTTTTATTTTCCAGTTTTTTCTATCTCCAATTTTCTATTTTCATTTTTTAGTTTTCATTTTTCAAATAAAAAAGCATGTTCATCAATTTTTTTTTCACCCGGTTGTGTGACCGAACAAAAGACTGAAAGTACGGTCCTAGTCCGGATCTGAACCTAGTACAACCCAAGTAGGAGACCAGGTCATGAGGTCACACGTATAGGAAAGTCGGGACCCAAACTGGTCGGTCTCGGGTCAATCTTAACGGTAAGGTCGACGAATTCTTTTCTATTTCCATATCGGTTAACATATCAACGGCTCTTTTAGAACTCTTCACTTTAAAGAATGATTTAAAAAAAACCAAGACTAAACCACCAGGTTATTGACCGACCCAGACAGTGACCGTTGTGCCGTTGACAGGACTGGCCCAGGACCGCCCGATTGTCGATAGGACTGAACATGGCCGGTCGGGCGTCGGGTCATTGACCCAACAGGATGGGGACTATTGGGTCATTGATCAGACATGACGTGGAATGTCGGGATGTTGACTGGACAGGAAGGGGATCGCCAGATCGTTGGCTGGACCAGACGAGGACCGCCGAGTCATTGACCGGATAAGACCGGGACTGCTTGGCCGTCGACCGGACCGAACAGGTACCGCCTAGTCGTAGATCGAACCAGACAGGGACTGTCGGTACATCGACCGACGGGGAGGGACTGACGGGTCGTGGATCGAACCGAACAGGTTTGTCGAGTCGTCGACTGGATAAGACTAGGACCGTTGAGTCATCGACCGAACCGAACAGGGACCGTAGGGTTAATGATTGGACCGGACCGTCGGGTCATTGGCCACACCAGAAAGGGACCGTCGTGTCGTTAACCAGACCAGACTAGAACTGACACCAGAGGGGGACCAGATCCACCAATAGGTGTAAGTATGCAAACTCATTGCAAAGGTACTCATCATCCGCGTTTTCCAAATTTGGAAAATTAGTAAAAGTCACTTCCCCTATTCATTAAGAAAAACAAAGACAAATCTCATTTTTTTTGTTTTGGAAAACGATTTGGTAAACACATTTTTTCTGTTTTCATTTTTCTAGTTTTCCAGCATTTTTTTGTTGGGTGGTGGAGATCGGACCCACTCAAATGGTAAAGGGACTGAGATTGGGGCCAAAGGTAGGTTACTTGAGGCCAAAGCTAGGTTACTTGGGGCCGAAGCTAGGTAGCTTGGGGCCGAAGCAAGAATGCTTGGGGCCAAAGAAAGCCCATTCTCTAGAATTCTCTTCCTATCTCTATAAATAGATCATTAATGAACCCTAAGTAGATATCACCAGAAAGTGTAATAGCATTCTCTCAGTAATAAAATCTGTCTAGTTCGCACAGTGGACTAGCCGGTCAGTTTGACCGGTGAACCACTTTAAATTCTTGTGTTCTTCTTTAAATCTCGCATCTTACAATCGTGTGTGTGCTGGTATTCGTTGAAGCCCTAATTCCTAACATTTTTTTGGTAAACACGTTTTCTATTTTTTTGATTCGGTTTTCTGAAAAATTGGAAAATATCTATGTTATTATGGATTTCTATCATCAACATTATACTACGTATAATTGTGATAAAGATGGGTCCGTTAACCAAAAGAGAAGTAATATAACGAAACATCACTCATTAAGAAATTTGAATGCAACTACATCGTACTCCGTAATATTTATTGGAATAATTTGGCATGGAAGTCTTGAATATGAATACATGTGATCCATGGGCCCTCAGGGCCTGTTTACTAACAGAGATATTTTCCTGTTTTCTACTTCTGTTTTTCGTTCTCCAATTTTCTGTTTTTATTTTTCAGTTTTTCTATCTCCAATTTTCTCTTTCTATTTTTTAGTTTTCCATTTTCAAATCTGAAAACATGTTCATCATTTTTTTCACTCAGTTCTCCAATTCCACACCCTTGACCCCTACCCTTACCACGATCTTACACTCTACCCATACCCCCCCACAACCCTTCATACCCACCCATACCTACTCGTAGGGGTCGGGGTAGGGAAGTTATGGGTGGGGGTGGGGTGGGGTGGTAAGGTCTAGGGGTATGGTCGGGGTGGGGTGGTAAGGTCTAGGGGTAGGGATGGGGGTAGTGGGTGGGTTAGGGTCGTTGCTAGGGGTAAGGGTGGGGTAGTGGGTAGGGTTTGGGGTAAGGTAGAGGTAGGGTATGGAGTTGGGATAAGATGGCGGTAGGGTGGGGTCGGGACCAGAGTGGGGCTGAGGTAGGGAAGGGGTAGGGGGGTAACAGGGTGGGGGTAGTGGGTAGGGTTGGGGTTGGGGTAAGGTAGGGGTAGTGGGATAGGATTGAGATAGGGTGGGCCTGGGATCTGGGTGGGGCCGAGGTAGGGGAAGGGTGGGGGGTAGGATAGTTGTCGGATGGCGGAAGGGTGGGGGTAGGATGGAGGTACGAGGGTGGGGGTAGGATGGCGGTGGGGTGGGACCGAGGTAGGGGCATGTGGTAAGGGGTAAGGGGTAATATACGGGTGGGGGTAGGGTAGGGTGGGTCGGGGTGGGGCTGAGGTAGGGGAAGGGTACTACGTAAAATTAGATACTCCCTCTGAAAAAATGTTTTTGTTTGATTGATGCCTTTGTTTGGCTTTCTTGGCATAGTTATGACTTATGAACTCTCTTGGCCAAATTAGGCTTGGACTGTAATTTGTTGATCTGGTCTAGTCTGAACTGGTATGGTATTTTTCATATTTTTATAACTATTCAAGTATGATATGGTTTTGTCTGGTCTAGTTTGGGATAAATTAGAGTCCAAGTAAAAACGTCAGAAGATTTCTGAATCCTGGCTGGCAACTGAGTAAAATGTGATTGTAGTTTATTGGTACTGTTTGGATTATGGGACGAAATTACCTATGTGACTGAAGCGTAAAAGAAAAAAAATAGCTCAGGTTAGTTACAAAGTAAACATGAAAACGGGTACTAACTCCTCCTAGTGAATAACAAATTCATAACCTCAGCAGAAAGGAAAAGAAGATGAAAATGCGGGCACTCTGATCTCTAGTCATCATCATCATCCATTCAAAGCTTGCATTCGGATCATATGCTCAAATTTTCATCCCTGGGCAGGCTTTGAACAGTGTCCGACCATCTCCCCGGTGAATGATCGCTGCTGTTAGAAGACACTTGAGCTTCTGCTCTCGCGTCCCTCACCATTTTCAGCACCTCCCTCATCGTGGGCCTGTTTTCCGGCACGACCGACACACACGCCATTGCGATGTTAAGAAGAGCGGTCAGCTTCTCATCGGATGCCTCATTGCTAGCGCCAATGCCAGAGGCGGCCCCGGGTTCATCGCCAGATTCGGTCTCATCTTCCCGGACGGAACGCACCCATCTGGGAATATCGGACCCGTATTCCTGGACGAGATCCTGGAACGGAGTTTTCCCGGTGAGGAGTTCGAGGAGGAGGACGCCGAAGCTGTAGACGTCGGCATGCTGGGTGAGAGGGCGGTGCGGGTCCCGGCATTCAGGAGGTCGGTAGAAGAGGGAAGTAGCACCGGATTCGTCGAGGGAATCTGGATTTCTGAATGGAGTGAGGCCGTAATCGGTGAGGCAAGATTCAAAGTCGGATCCCAAAAGGACGTTTGAAGATTTTAGGTTTCCGTGAGTGAGAGCGGGGTTCTGGTGGATGAAGAGGACTCCGGTAGCCACGTCTTCGGCGATTTTCAGGCAGGATGTCCAATGAAGAGGCTTTGAGCCACTGGAAGCTCTTGATCCTGCAGTTCATAATTCAAAATATTCACTCATTTTGTCAAATAATAATAATAATAATAATTTATGTTATTTAAAAAGAAATAACATAAATTAATGAGTTACTTTAATTTGAAAAACGATCTTTGAACACGCTCCAAAGTTTAATTGTTTCACTCAAACAATTCATTTATGTTGGGGAGAAAACTTGCATGTTTTATGTGCAATTAAAACTGTCACTAAAAAACATGTACAGCCTTCATATGACCAGTCACGAGTCATGTGTGTGAGCATGTTAATGAACATAGCTAGGCATGTGAGTGTGTGCATGGAGACAGACATATGAGTGTGTGCTAGTTTGTGTAATTTTCTCACAAATGAAAGTTTTAAGTATGAACTAGTAATTTGAAAGGTTTGTGTGAAAGAAAGGTGTACAAACAATTAACTACGGCTGAGGTGGCGGTAAACGACAATGACATGAAGGGAAAAAATGAAATGAATCAATGGGCTACATTGGCGGGTTTGGAAATGATTCTGCTTCTATTTTAAATAAAAGTGGAAACAAAATCTTTCATAATGGGTTTACAAAAGTTGGTCTACCTTTATTAGCTACTAAAAAAACTAATTTTATGGGCAATTTGAAGCATTTAGAAGTAGTTATGCACTTGTGCTCCTAAGTAGTTTCAAAAAAACAGATCCAAACACGAAGATAGGACACACCATTACGCAATACCAGGAAACCAACAAATTAAACTAATGATGAAATATGGGCATATCCTTTCATGTGACAACAACACACCATTCATGTGACAACCACACATGCTTCAAGCTCAAGCTCTAGCTACCTACACCCAATTTTATTTATACAGTCCTATGACCATCGCAGTAAATAAAACAAAAAGAAAAATCACCCCACATTAGTTTTAGTTGGGACATCTGAACTTGAAATTATGTGGAGGAACAGACCAAACCAAACCAAACCAAAAGTAAATAGACCACACCAGGATCGGAAAAATTCAACCCAGGTTAAATGGTCCCTAGCTAATCAAACAAGTAAGTAGCATTAAATTTTATGTCAAGGTAAAACCAAACATTTTAAAATCAGCAACAGGGACAGGGAAAATTAAATAAATCAACGGCTGAGTAAAAAAGAAAAAGGAGTGAGCGAGTGAGTAAATAGGAAGGAGGATACTTACCGTGAATGAGAGAGAAAAGGCTGCCATTGGGGAAATAATCATATACGAGCAAGCGCTCCTCCTTAGCCTGGAAATACGCTCGGAGTGGGACCAAGTTGGGATGCCGGAGGCTGCCCAGGATGTCCACGTGTCGCCGGAACTCCTCCAGCCGGGGGTACCTCGACTCCCTCAGCCGCTTCACCGTCACGATGTACCCGGACTCCATCACGGCTTTGTACGTGCTCCCGATCGTGCCCCTCCCCAGCGTCTCCGCCGACGCCTTCAGCAGCTCCTCCAAGCTGTACCTCATTTGCTGATCCCCTGCCCCGCAGAACACCAGCGTCCCTACTCCCCCTCCCTCCTCCCACGAAAATGACCCATCTTTCCTCCCGTTATTACCGCCCCTGCCACTGCCCCCCTCCGCCGCCGCCGCCCCTTTACTCTTCCCTTCGCCCGTCCTCCTTCCTCTCCTTCTCAAACAGATCCCTATCACAATAGCCATGCCTAGCAGTACAAGTACTCCACCTGCGATTGAAAATGCGAGCAGAAACAACACCCTCCGGTTCCTTCTCCTATGCTTCGACGTCGGTTCCCTTCCCGGGCCCGGATTCGGGCATTCTTTATTTAACTTCAGGCCGCAGAGCTCGGGGTTCCCGGAGAACGCCGATTCGTTAAAAACTGATATCGCACGCGTGGTCGGGATTCTGCCGGAGAGCCGGTTGTTGGAGACGTTGAAGAATATCAGGGTCGTCTGGTTCAGTGCCGGGATTTCTCCGGTGAATCGGTTGTCTTGCAGGTAGAGCGCGTAAAGCCGCGAAAGGCGGAGAATGGACGGAGGGATTTCGCCGGAGAGTGAGTTACCGGAGAGAGCAATGACCTTGAGGCGGTGGAGGCGGGTGAGGCTCTCCGGGAATCCGCCGGTGAAGTTGTTGTTGTTGAGGTAGAGAGATTTGAGGTTGGGGAGGGCGGCGAAGGAGGGGATTTCGCCGGAGAGGGAGTTGTCCTTGAAGCTCAACACCCTGAGCTGATCCAACCGGCTCAAGCTCCGTCCATCCACCGCGCCTCTCAGGCTGAGCCGCTCCACCACTAGCTTAGTAACCCTCCCATTCATGCACTCCTTCACACCACGCCACCGGCAAACACTCCCAACTCCACTCCCCACCCAATCCACGAGCGAGTTCAACGGGTCAAACCCAGATTTCAACGCCAGCAGAGCGTCGGCGTCGCCGGAGTGCACCGCAGGAAAGTCGAGAACCCCGAATGAAGTCAAGAACAGCAAGGCTAGAGTGCCGAAAGGGTGCATATTGGACAAAAGGCAGCTATAACAAAAAGTTCAGAGCATTTCGAAGTTTTTATTTCAAAAAAATAGCAGCGGGGGTAGATGGCGAAAAGAATGTGAAAGATCCAAGAAAAAGGTTATAGCTTTAATGAGGCAAAGGGAGTACAATTAGCAAGAAGGGAATCTCCAGATCTAATCTGAGAAGAATGTACAGGGGTGGGTGAGATTAGCATAGCAGCAATTGAGGATGATGACGGAATTGTGTTTGCCATTCCGGGCCAGAAAATCAAGTGTAGAGTGGAATGCGCCTGAGACTAGCGACCCGTCACTGTCAAAGCTTGTTCTTCAACTTGGGGTTGACCATTGGAACAGAAACCTCAAAGAACAGAGAAAGTCCTTTGAATGGGTGAATTTGGTTGAGGCTTATCCCGCAGCAGGCGCTCTCTCACTCTCTTCTCTGTTGGAACCAAAGTGACAACTACCGCTTTTTGTCCGACACCACACAAACACACGGCTTTGTAAGACCTTCAAACCCTCTCGTGGAATCCGACCGGTGATTGTGGTTCCAAATTCACTTATAACGTAGCCGATTGTACGTATACCTTTCCACGGTACAATCGGACTTTTAGTTCGAAGATCACAGATCACTAGCTTCCATCGCGGGTTGCTCATTCTATTTTTCGCACTTCGTTGTTCGCTGGTTACTCGTCGCTCGACGTCGTTCATAGACGACGTCGTGAACTCACCACTCACAATCCTCCGGCAAGAACGCAACTCGGAGAATCCCGCTTGCGCACAAAAGACCGCGGCTCTGGCAGATGTATAGGGCTAGTTGCAGTCTTTCTTTTTTTGCACCCTTTTTCGTTTTTCTCTTTTTCTTACACAGGTTTGCTGAGTTTGATCACTTGTTGGCGGTTGGGAGAAACCTATGTTATACGTAGTTCTACACATATGAGCACACACACAAAAGAAATTATACAGGTTTGGTGAGTTTGATCACTCGTTTTTCTCTTTTTCTTACATAGGTTTGGTGAATGGTGAGTTTGATCACTTGTTGGCGGTTGGGAGAAATCTATGTTATATGTAGTTCTACATATATGAGCATACACAAAAGAAATTATAAGTATAGTGACATTTTAAACTTTTTGACATCGATATCATAGATCGATTCATGTGAGCGGACCCCGGAATATTTTCGGATTAAGACTTGGATGTTGTTGTTGTTGTAGACATTTTGAACGAGTTATTTGATTTTTTTTAATACTCATTGATGGATAGTCTACCCGGGGGTATCTTATCCGAGGGGTTATTGCGGGAATAACTAGAGAGAAGTCAGAGCAAAATAGGAGGAGAGAGAGTTGATTTTATTAAATGAACTCAGCGTGTGAGATCCGGGATCGTTTACAAGGAGAAATGGGTTGCTATTTATAGCAGCAATAAATGCGATGAGACTACACGTGTCAGTAATCCAACGGCCGAGGGATCACATCAATCGGGGTGGCACCGACAGTGGCATGTTCACCGCATTGAATGCGGTGGGTGGACATGACGTCGCATTAAATGTGGTGGTTGGCTGTCTCCAAGGGGAATCTTCGATGATTGAGTAGTTGGCCAGAGGCTCCTCATTTGGGTCGAGGGCTCTGCGCAGCCGGAGGTGGGGTAGTGCCGAAGGTCCCCCTGATGCCGAGGGCATCATGTATAGCCGAAGGCATTAGGTAGCCGAGGGCTCCTGGTAGCCGAGGGCTACTATTTTACGCCGTTTTCTCCTAGTAGCTTCACATGCTCGAAACTGTCTGTCCTGTGTGGTTTGGAGCCTTCGGCCAAGGAGGCCGAAGGTACCCCAGTGTGTATTCTGGGCTCCTTTGAGGCTTGGGCCGTAGCATTTGGACCCGAGATGCTCCCTGGGCTCAGTAGACCCGTGTGAGAGAAGTAGGAGTTTATGGGCCGGAGGTTCCTGGGCCATATACTCCATCACTCATTTCATAATCTATTATACTTATTTGATATTGGTGTAACACTCATTTTAAATGTCATATTCATGTATATTTTAAAAGTATAATAGTGCATTAAATTCACATATTGAATTCATATGGATTTGTTGTAGACATCTTAAAAATAAGAAAAAGAAAGTGAATTATAAAATATGAAGCCGATATCACAATACTCATTATTGCACTCTCAATACTCAATAGATTAGATATGATGTTCATTACACGTGCATTAATGTTCATTTAGCTAAAATCGTGAATTTCACTTAAATGATCAAAATGACATTGGACCCACGTTGGACTACATACAACCGGATGTACGGTATACGAACTTTCCAAATTTGGAGCAACTTCATCCGGATCCGAATATTTTCCATTTCCGCCTTTTATTTTTCCCTAAAATATTACTAACATAAAATGTGATTATCACGGAGTGTGATTTAGTTTTTTCCACTCGATTGTTTTTATTAGCTACTAAAAAGATTGTGTTGATTTATTGGTCAATTATAGATCAAATTTTCTTCTTGCACCAACATTGAGGCAAATAATCCCCTCTTGAACCATAGCTGTGTCACAAAGATGAGCTTACATGGTATGTCTGCCTTTCGATAACCAGTGAAATCAAGATAATTTTTACAATTGTCTCCCGATCCTTATCGGTGGTAGCGAAACTAGAAAAAACTCAGAAAAGATCGGGTCATGACTACTTGATAGAAGCCCCATTTGAGATACTTCTGAGTAGATTTTTTTAATAAAACTTTGTGAGGATGTTTTTCCTGAAATGTTCACTCAGTTTAAAATTCAACCGGGAAGTTGTTAAGACCCGGGGTTCCATCCTAAAAGGTCAACCTGATAGGAGGAGTAGCCCAAAGCCTTACATAGTGTTTTATTATTTTATAGTTTTTCAGTGTGGGACAAATACTTCAACACGCTCCCTCAGCCCGCACCGGTCTGGACAATATCGGGGTGTATAAATGGGCCAAACAGACCCCTAATTAGCTACCTGTAATCATGGGTGCTAAACAAGCAATCAACCCACAACCGGAATTGGCTCTGATACCATGTTAAGACCCGTGGTTCCATCCTAAAAGTTCAACCTGATAGGAGGAGTAGCCCAAAGCCTTATATAGTGTTTTATTATTTTATAACTTTCCAGTGTGGGACAAATACTTCAACAGAAGTCAATTAAATAAATTACGAAAAAGCATTGTGTTATATATATATATATATGGGTGCAATATTTTTAACAATTTATTTAATTGACTTTTCAATTGATATTTAAACCAAAATTTGGTGTAAATAACATAAACATCATGAGGAACATTATCAGAAAATTTCATCAAAAAGTTTACGCGAAAGCACCTCAAACATAGGCACTCGGGCGACGAATCCTGTCAATTAAGTAGTTTTGGCAGATCATTCCTCATGAAATAATTACACATGTATGAGTAAATATAGGAGAAGATATGTTTTATTCCTCAAATATATCTTATTTGGTTCAATTAAAAATAGTTTGATTACAATTTGCCAAAAACATCAATGAATAAGTCATATTTTGAGAATAAAACAATGGTAATCTTATTTATGAATTTATTTTTGTTCTAGTGTTATTTTAGGAAATTTCTCTTCTTTGTTTGTGTTCCTTCTTAACCTCCCTATGACTAAATACTTACTCCGCCTCTGACAATGATCACACTCCATATCACACATTCACATCTGACGCATCCACTATGAGTTGTACACAACCACACTTCAGATGTTACTACAATTTTAGTCAACGAAATAACCCGAGACAATTCCATCGAAATGGCAGAGAATTGGTGAGAATTTGGGTTGAAATATTTCCATTACATTTTAGCCTTTAAATTCATTCAATCTTTAGAAATCCAAAACTTAAAAAATCCATCAAAATTTTATGCACTATATTGCTTGCATCCCGCATCGAAGATCATGAAATTTTATGGAATTTAAAAAATTCCATAAAATGCTTTGGTATTCTAATTCGGGACACCTGATATATGGACCAGCCGACTAGGCCCCATAAAACATTAGTGTGGGTTTGGCGAGTGGTTTCAACTTTCAATGGCCCTATCAATAATATCTGGGCTAAACAAATTCGTTGATGGTTCGTATCGTTGAAGCGTCTATATCCGTTTCCGCTCGGAGCAACTGAACCTCCGTCGCCGGAGGATGAGCAGGCGGAGTGCTCTCCCTCATCTTCTACTGCTTCGCTCTTACTCAGGCAAACCATCCCCGACCCCGCCGGCTCCAGTTCTTGTTTCATTCAGTTCTTCATCCCACACTGACGATGTTAGTAGTAGGCTCCCTGGACTGGTGACAGAAGAGTATCGAAGCGACTCTCCATTGTTTTCGCCACAAGAGTTCGCTTTTTTGAAGGACTCCTTGTCGGCTAGGTCTACTTCCGGTGGTATGGATGATGCTGTCCTTTTAATTAAAAGTGTACTTCGGGAGTATGGCAGTAGCAGTAATGGCTGTTTGGGGGAGGAAGCTCAGAAAATTCTTAGGCAGTTGAGGGATAAGCTAAACCCAGATTTGGTGGCTCGGGTTCTCAGAGAGGTTCGGGACGCTGAACTGGGCGTGAAGTTTTTCATGTGGGCTGGTAGGCAGATAGGGTATAGTCATAGTGTAGCTGTGTTCGATGCTTTACTAGATGCTGTCCTCACCAGGGAACCCAATAATTCTTATAATGCGGCAGTTCCGGAGCAAATTCTCCATGGTCTTATGGATGATGATAAGGAGGTTTTGGGGAAATTGCTTAATTTTTTTGTCCTCAAGTGCTGCCGAAATGGATTGTGGAACTTGGCTTTAGAAGAGCTAGAGAGGCTCAAGAGTTTAGGGTACAAGCCCTCCAGAGTCACTTACAATGCTTTAATTCTGGTTTTTCTGCAAGTGGGTAAGTTGGATTCTGCTTCTTTGATTTACAGGGAGATGTCAGGGTTAGGGTTCAAGATGGATATGCACACACTGAATTGCTTTACACGCTCACTGTGCAAGGAAGGTAAATGGAGAGAAGCCCTTGATTTGATGGAGAAGGAAGGCTTTGCTGCTGATACTGTGATATACACTTCGATGATTTCTGGGCTATGCGAAGGTTCTTTTTTTGAAGAGGCTATGAATGTTCTGAACATAATGCGATCGAGTTCATGCATCCCCAATAGAATTACTTATGAGACCTTACTTTGTGCCTGTTTGAACCAAAGAAAACTGGGTAGGTGTAAGAGAATTCTTAATATGATGATTCTAGAAGGTTGCTGTCCAGGCCAAAAGATATTTAATTCACTTGTACATGCTTATTGCAGATCAATGGATTACTCGTACGCCTATAAATTACTCAAGAAAATGGACCGCTGTGGCTACCAACCTGGTTATGTGGTCTACAACATACTGATCGGAGGTATATGCGGCAATGATGACTTACCAAGCAAGGAATCGCTAGAACTGGCCGAAAAAATCTACGAGGAAATGCTTCATGTAGGGGTTGTACTGAATAAAGTCAACGTTTGCAACTTTGTCCGTTGTCTTTGTGGGTCCCAAAATTTTGAGAAAGCCTTTCATGTGATTCGTGAAATGATGAGCAAGGGTTTTGTACCTGATGTTAGCACATACTCTAAAGTTATTGGCTTCCTCTCCAGTGCCTCAAAAATAGACAAGGCATTCATGTTGTTTCAAGAAATGAAAAAAAATGGCCTCGTTCCTGATGTTTATACTTATACAGTACTGATCGACAGCTTCTGTAAATCTGGATTCATCAAACAGGCTCGTATTTGGTTTGAGGAGATGAGAAGTGAGGGTTGTATGCCCAATGTAGTGACTTACACATCTCTTTTACATGCATGCCTCAAACAAAAGAGGATTTCCGAAGCAAATGAGCTCTTTGAGTTAATGTTGTCTGAAGGATCCATTCCTAATGTTGTGACCTTTACTGCTCTGATAGATGGCTTCTGCAAAGCAGGGAATGTGGATAAGGCTTGCCAGATCTATGCAAAAATGAAGGGAAGTGTTAGCACTTCCGAAGTAGACATGTACTTTGAGACAGATATGGGTAATAGTGCAGTGAAGCCCAATCTTGTAACATATGGAGCTTTAGTGGATGGTCTATGCAAAGCACATCGGGTAAACGATGCTCGTGATCTATTGGATACAATTTTAGTGGAAGGTCAAGAGCCCAATGTTAATATATATGATGCTCTAATTGATGGATTTTGCAAGAAAGGAAAGACAAACGAAGCACATGAAGTGCTTTCCAGGATGCTGGATCGTGGGTACGATCCTAGTGTTTTTACTTACAGTTCTTTCCTCGATAGACTTTTAAAAGATAAACACTTGGATCTTGCTATGAAAGTTTTGTCTCAAATGCTCAAAAAATCTTGCCGACCAAATGTTGTGATCTACACGGAGATGATAGATGGCCTATCTAAGGTTGGAAAGACGGACGAAGCTTACAAGCTTATGTTGATGATGGAAGAAAAGGGCTGCAAGCCAAATGTTGTGACTTATACCGCAATGATAGATGGATTTGGTAAAGCTGGGAAAGTTGAAAAATGCCTTCAATTAATCCAGCAGATGGTTAGTAAGGGTCTTGCACCAAATTACATAACTTATGCAGTCACAATCAAATACTGTTGTTCTACTGGTTTACTGGATGAGGCTGTCCATTTGCTAGATGAGATGAAACAGACATATTGGCCGAGGCATATGGAAAGCTATTATAAGATTATTGAAGGGTTCAACAAAGAGTACTTAATCGGTCTTGGTTTATTGGAGGAAATGAGCACAAAGAGTTCTACTATCTCTGTATTCCCCATTTATAGGATTTTGATTGATAGCTTACTCAAAGCTGGAAGACTGGAAGTGGCTGCTGACCTACATAAAGAAATTTCATTGTCGTCATATCACGACAAGAATATTTATGCTTCTTTAATCCATAATCTTTGTATTAATATGAAAGTTGATAAAGCATTCGAGTTATATGCAGACATTGTAAAGAAAGGTGCAATTCCAGAAGTGAGCGTCTTTGTTAGCCTCATCAAAGGGCTTGTATTGGCCAACCGGTGGGAGGATGCGCTCGACCTCTCTAGGAGTCTATGTGATATGGTCAGCAACTTGTCACCTCATTTACTATCTACTGGCACAAAATTTGATTTCTCTTGTCCGGCTATCATTATTATTTTTATTTTGATAATTTGTTTGCAGAATTCAAGTTAAAAAATATTTAGAGTAACACACTAACATCTGAACCTGAGGAAAAAGATATTAATTCAAAATATTAATGGAACCTACCATTTCGTTTACAACTCCAATATCTGGATTCGTATAATCTTAAATTGTAATGGTTTGAATGTGCAAATATGCTAATAAATGTTGCTTCAATCTTAACAAGAGAATATGTTATGATATATTGTGTTTGACTTCTGAATCTTTGAAGTAATTATAATACTCCGTAGTAGTAATAATAGTAATAATTGTTGTTGTTGATGATGTGGTTTTTGTTATTATAATTATTCTATATTCATCCAATTTTCCTGGTAAACAGGAAGTTCGCTGGCTAACTGCTGACAAGAAAATGGACGGCAGTTAGTATGATATATGGGTTCAACTAAGTTCAATCAATTCCCATGAATATCCGGTGACATCAGACACCTCTGGCTTAAGAAAAAGACCAATTTGTGTACTTATTCTCTTCTTCATTTTTTGACATTATAGCTGCTCTTGTTAGCATTGTTTTTTAAGAACACTAGGCGGCCAGGAGTCTGAGGCCTAACACCTAGGAGTGGCCTGTGTAGGATTAAGTGGAACATAGATACAGTTAGGAGGAGCCATTTCCGGTAAACTGTGATTGAAAATAACCATAGGCGGTTCAGTTTGTGATTCAAAATTTGGGATTCGAAACTGACTTTAACCCAGCAAAACCAATCTAAAATGACTTAACTGAAACTGACTTGAGTTATTTGATTCAGTTTTCAGTCAAATGTTGAAAACCCAACCTACCTAAACCGGAGTCACAAACACCCCTAGATACCATTTGGCTCATCCGGGCTGGCCTTCATGCGTTCCATTCTTGGTTGAGAAATTTTTCAACTTCGCCGTTAACTAACAGAGTGCTCTTCTGAATACTTTGTGATTGGCAGCCAGCTGGGAGAGTCCTGTTAACTGCTGCATGTAATGTGTTTCAGCGGCAGGCCGGCAGCTAGAACCAAGGCGAGGATATATGTGCATGGCATTGTGTGGGAAAGAATCATTCTACCGAGAGTTCGAGAGTCAATTGCCATCCACCACTATCCATCTATAATGGTGCTTTCACCTTCAGGTATTTTTTATACCCTGAGTTTTCTTCTATTGTCTGAGTTTGAGTTACGATTTTTATGCCCGAGTTTTCTTCTATCCTCTGATTTTCTTCAGTTATAATAAATCATAGGGTATGGCTTCTTCTTGGGTGATATGTTTCTCTTTGGGTCGGATGAGAGTATGACCTGAGAGAGAGCAAAGTGGAGTGTGAATATTCATATATTGATCTCTTTTACGTAGTAATATTTTTTTATCTTCTTTACCTTTCTTAAGTTCTTTACCCTTTTATCCCTTTTAATCTATATATATTCTTTTTATCCTTTTTATCTTATCTTTATATTGTCTTTTTATCTTTTTGCATCTTACCTTATCTTTTTAACCTTTTGCTCCGATATATCGATTCATGTTAGCCGTCCTCAAAATCTTTTGGGACTAAGACTTGGATTTGTTGGTGTTGTATCGGAAATCAAAGGGTATCTATTGACTTTTGCCTAAGAATTCATGTCACAATCTGCTGCATGCATAACTGAAGACCAAATTCAATTTACAAGAAAGTATAAAGAAATTAATGGCTATCTTAAAAATGCTCTACGAAGTTGATAACTAGTACACAAATTGATCTGACACCTAAACAAAAAAAGGCTGGGTTATCAATTTCGTGACCATGAGAATTTATTTATAATTATATTAAAGGGTCCATATGTGTTAGCTCACTTATCGGACTTGATTAGTGCATGTATTGCTTTTTTTTGTGTGGATGAAATGGTAGAAAAATTGATATTTACACTACCATCCTTTAGATATCATTTCTATTACTTAAAAAAGAATACTTTAAATTCATTTTTAGTCAATACAGCCCTAGCCACACAGCCAAGTTTATCCTACCAAACCCATTCCGTTAAGTGAATCCAGTCCCAACCCCTACACAGCTAAACTCAAATATGACATCTTTTGAAGGGTGAGATAATAGAGAAGACATGAGTTCTTGAATCGACAATTTGGATGGTGGGGGCAATGATTAAGATGAAGTTGACATCAATCATTTTTGTAAAGGAATTTTGCTCTACAACTTTCGCAGGTTAGAGGATGCGAGATGCATTTGTAGGTGGTTTCTTCAAATGCTTTGCCTCTCTTATTCCCAATGGTGTCTTCTCTCTGGACAAATTCACATTCTGATCCCTGTTATGGAAGAGAACTAATTTCTTCAACTGTACGCTCACCAAACCTGTCGTCACCCACTGGTTACTGCCGGTTGGCCAATCAGTGTCTGGTGATGCGGCACATTCTCATGGACCATGAATTCTTATGAGATTCACATACCATAAGAGAAGCACAAGGTGGTGTTGATTTGGGATCATGGAGGACGGAATACGGGGAGGTGTGGATTGCCGTGGGGGTCTTCTAAAAAGTGAACTCATTAACGTAAAAAAATGGATGGATGCATTCAATTTGTAAGTTCCAAACGAGGCTGCATCATTGTAAATATGGAAAATATTCTATGTAATTAGCTGGAAAATAATGCATCACTATATACGAAAGTACCTTTGCACAATATAAAAGTGCATCAAAACCCCAAAACAGATAACTTGGGAAATGACGATTCTTAAACTCCACAAGTGTACCTTTTTTGTAGTATTAATGGATGGTAATTTTAAACACCTTGAGTGTACATTTTTTGAATGTATAGTAATATTAGTAGCATTAACTTATTTGCATTAGTCGCTTTTATTGAAATATAATGACAAACAAACGATTAAATTTCATTATGGATAAAAAAGAGACTATTGGAATTGAAAAATACCGAAAAGTCCTTGATATTAAAATAAAATTAAACCCCAAGTCCCTAACCTCAACCCTCTATCACCGTCGTCATGGCCAGTTGTATGGTGGTTGCCGTCCATGTGCATCACCATCACTCGTGTGTATTTTGTCACTATGGCGGACGCCGTTGGTGATGACAAAACATACATAATCATTTGTTGCGGCCTTGCAGGATTTTTGAGAGTATTACGTATAATACTTTATACTTAATTTTTACAACTTTACAAAACTCCGTTGGATAGTGATTCCGGGTAACATACATTCTACAACCGGCTTTATCGTGCGCACGGTATGTACGGCCAGACTTTATTAGACTTATGCGCTTCTTCAACCTGGCCTTCGCACCAGGCTTCTACGCTCCGGTTTCGCACAAAGCTTCGTATCGGATTTCTCCGATTTTGCTTGCTTCTTCGATCTGACTTCGCCGACGTTCACCCCCTTCTCCTTCAGCTCGTTGCTCATCGCAGCCTCACCACTCGCCCCTTCTCCTCCGGCACAAACGCAACGGATTCGGCGTAGTTACTCTCCCCCTCTGTCTTTCTTTCCATTCTTTTGCTTTTTCTCTCTTTTTGACGTAGTTTTGCTGTTTGAGCTTGTGATTTTGGGAGACAAAAGGAGTCTAATTTATTGTTGAGGAATCCTTGTTGCTATTGATCTCAAATAAGTTTTATATTAAACTCGATTAAATGAGTATACGCCTAAAAGAAATGAACTCACTCAAATTAATATTGAGCAAATTTGAAATGAGTTTTATGTTAAACTCAAATGAGTATAACACCCAAAATGAATGAGCTTACACAAATGATCTTTTGAATTATTTGATACTCATTTTGTAAGTTATGTATGCTCATTTGACACTGTTTTATGCTCATTTTAAAATGTTTCACATTTCAAATGTATAATACTACATTAAATTCACATATTGAAATTAATTGAAATTGATTATTAATTGAGTAACATTTAACTGATTTCCCACCATATGAGGCTTTTCATAAAGAGATAATGCCTCTAACATTTAAGAGGGGTTATATAATGTTATTGAAATAAAACTCATTTACAAAAATTCAACTAAAATTACTCTGATTAGCATCTTTACAATTCAGGCATCGATAGTGACGGGCAAAGTGGCGGCTTGTTGACGGGATGGAACGATGAGACAAAATTAGAAATCATCGGTGGCGATGTAAGTTTTTATTGATTGTTCAGTGAAAATATTGATGGGCGGTCCAACTTGGCCACTGACAGGCTTCTACGGGTTTCCAGAAACCAGACGGAGGAGGGAGGCCTGGGCTCTATTACAAAGCTTGGTAGAAGGTAATCGTCTACCATGGACGATTTTAGGTGGCTTTAACGACATTCTTTATGAGTCGGAGAAGAAGGCCATAATTACCCACCCGACATGGAGACTACGTGAATTCCGAGAAGCAGTTTTGTGTAGTGGTCCTCGCACTTTTCTGTTCTCAGGTTATCAGTGGACGTGGAAGCGGGGCAAAGGCCCTATTAATTGGGTGGAAGAAAATCTGGACATAATTTTGGTCAATGATGATTGGTGAAATATGTTTATGGCGGCCCATGCAACATCAATAGAGGCCCAGGTCAGTGATCACATGGCATTATAGGGGAAGATATTACCGACGGTGCATAGTCGCAGGAAAAGAGGTTTTAAATTTGAAAACAATTGGCTGAGAGAGGAGGAATGCAGAACGACGGTCACTGGTAGTTGGGGAGCAGGCACTCATATGTCTGTAAGCGATAGGCTATCTTTTTGCGGGAAAGAATTGCTTCACTGGGATAGTTGTAGATAACGGGGCTTCCGACACCACTACAGGCTTGCAAACAGAGATTGGCTTGGCTGAGGGATAAAGAAGATAGGAGCAGAGTATCCGAATTTCTTAGGGTGAGGGCAGTGTTGCAATTGTTGATGGAGAAAGAAAATCTTTACTGAAAGCAAATGGCGAAGGAGTTCTGGCTCAGGGAAGGAGATATTAATTCCGTTTTTTTCATAATGCTGTAAAACAAAGGAGGACGAGGAATAGGATGACGGGTCTAACATTAACAAATGGCTCATGGACCACGAATAGGGGAAAAATGGAGACAATGTTGTTGGATTATTTTGAGCAGCTATTCCACGCGAACGAAGAGGGGATCCTACTCGAGGGGTCTGAGAATTCCCTCCAAGTGACAGAAGCGCAAAAAAGGATGTTGCTCAGATCGATTTGTCCGGAGGAGGTAAAGATGACTATTTTCGAGATGCATCTGGAGAAGGCACCAGGATGATGAGATGAATCCATCATTTTTTCAGGCCTATTGGGTTGTGGTGAGGTCAGAGGTTGCCAGGTTATGTGCTAATTTTTTTAGTCCGGTTCTCTCTCTAAGGATTAAATACCACTAATATTGTTTTAATTCCAAAACAGGAGAAACCGGTAAACCAAGCATTCCAGCCCAGCTGGTTGTGAGGTTACCGTGCTTAGTGGGAGGTCTCGAGTTCGAAACCCGCTAGGCACATAAGAGTTCGAAACTCAATGGAGTGAGTTTCAGCCCAGATTACTCCAGGCCCCCCAGGCCCTCCCAGAACCACGCTGGAGTAAAAAAAAGAGGAAAAACCGGAAAATATGGGATACTGGAGGCTTATTACTTTATGCAGTGTGGGTATATAAATGTTTTTCTAAAGTAATTGCTAATCGATTTAAGGGTATTTTGGATTCTCTAGTGGCAGGAAACCAGAGTGCATTTATTCGAGGAAGGTCTATCATTCATAATATTATTGTAACTTTTGAAACCCGTCATCATCTTAAACGTAAATGTTATGGAAATGAGAGATTTGTACTTTGTAGCATTGAAGTTGGATATGAGTAAAGCTTATGAGATGGTAGATTGGTTCTTTTTACGTGAGGTTATGTTGACAATGAGTTTTGATATCACCCCTACACTTGATCACACTGTAAGCTCATGCTATCCAACCTCACTCTCTAGAGTTAGGAAGGGCCATGGTTGTTACTTCTTACCATAATTCACCCTGGCTATCCTCAAGGACTATCGAAAACACCCGTAGGTCAATCCTATATCTAGGATCAATTCATAATTCAAATTATCTTGAGTAACCTTTAAGGCCCACCCCTAGTATAACTTAGAGTTCATACATGTCCACCTTAAAGTATCTTAAGACTACTTAAGGTACAATATCTTACAATCCAACCTTAGGATCAATTCTAGCATAATCTCATATTAACATCCCAACTAGCATCTTAATACTAGCCTGATCAATCTTAGAACAATCAAGTCCTCAATACATGGTCATTTATATGCAATACACAAAATATCCCTTTTTATCACTCATATAATTCCTATATGAAGTAAAAAAACATATTTTAACATAAGGCTTCATAGTTAATTCAACTAGCATATCATCATTTTCACAACATATAATCATACATAATTTACTTCTAAATTTGTATGTCATGCTCCTTTATTCATAGACAATAATCTTCTCAGTTTTGGTATTATTAATCATTAATAATCCAATAAAAATCATGTTTAGATACTTTAGTTAATCTTATGAAATCAATCCACTAATTATAACCCGTTCGGTTATATCCCATTCTAGACCGATAAAAAATGAACTAGCTGGACAGTAGGTGAAAACCGGGCGCCTTTCACAAAAGCCGGGCGGCTTTTGGCCCCTGCAACTTCGAGACAACTTCTCTCTCTCTTTTTTTTTTTTATCGAAGGGGGCTTAAATTAATAAAATAGCATTCAACAGGTGTACATGATAATAAAAGAACCACAAGTAACCATCCGCCCTTGGCCGAGACTCAGAGTTAACCACCTTTATCAAAGCAGTATAACTCGCTAGACCTGAATTGGGAAACTTAAAGCCAATGACGATTACCGTAGACCTCTCATCCCCAAAGCTATTGCAAGAGTCTTACAACATAAAATAAAATAACAATAAAACACAAACGTCTTAACTTGGAAATTACAATGCAGGAAAGAGAAATTATAAGCAAACTCCAAAACGCGTCGATCAACCCTTGGCGGTGGTTCTGGAGGAGGCCGGACCCTCGCAACAATTGTTGTTTCACCAAAGCGGTTTTCCTCCGACTCGACCGCCTCTTCGGCTTCATCATCACCCACCAATTCGATCGTTCTTGTCCTTTTGTTCACCGCTGATCTGCTCTTGAAAATTGCCCATCGGAAAAGCTCTATGCCCTAGCAGGGGGTGACCGATCAGTTTCTCCAAGTTTCCTCCGTCAATCTTGATGCCCTTCCCTTTGTTCATCCTCAGCCGAACCGAAACAGTAGCCCCCTATCCCTCACGCCGCGACCCATCCCTCAGACACGCGCCGACCACCTGCTGTCTTGGTATGAAATTGTCAAAGCAAACAAAAAGCCGATCTTTGATCGAAGAGATCGAAATCGGAAAACAACACCCAACGGCTCACGCCCTAGGAAAAATCGGAGCTTCTCTTAGTGACGGTATCCAGTGATTTCAACTCATTTCGATTCAACGTCTCTTCTAAATTAAACACCAACACTTTATATCAAAATTCTACACTTTTAAACGTGCAAAACCTCTTATTTAATCCACCATGTGATTTCTTAAAATAATATGAATAAAATACTAGTTAAAGAACTATTTGAGTTCTTACCTACCTTTCTCCCTTTCTATTTCTCTTTGAATTTCCTTTCCTCTTCCTTCCTTCTATCTAGAGTCGTGAGGCTTTCCTGGAGCTCCCTCTCTCTCTTGGTTGGTCAAATGAATGTTAAAGGAAGGGGGGAGGTACCTCTACTCAATCAAGCATCAATATAATGCATGAGTAGGGTCCTAGGGTGTGTTATTGTGTCTTGAGCCATCCCATGTTAAGTTGTCTCATTGACACTATT